GTGGTTGGTGGTTGCCTAGGGAAATTCCAGGTGCTGTTCCCAGAGATGCCAGGCCAGCAGAAGCAGCAGATCCTCCTCCCACTGCCCTGCTCTCCCTTCCCCCACCCAGCCCGAAAACATCATGCTCCTAGACAAGAACGTGCCCAACCCACGCATCAAGCTTATTGACTTTGGCATCGCTCACAAGATTGAAGCCGGGAACGAGTTCAAGAACATCTTTGGCACCCCAGAATTTGTTGGTAAGGCCCTGCCTGTGCATCAGGGGCTGGGGCTTGGTAGGTGTATTCAAGGATCTCCAGCAGTGTAGGGTGAGTTGGGCCTGGTCCCTGGATGCCTGACTCATGGCCCTCAGTGCCCTGGCATTGGGCAAGGGGAAGCTCAAGAACTCAGGTTGGGCCCTGCCGGTGTTTAGAGCATTGACCCACGTACCATAGGGTTGCAGGTTCAATTCCTGGTCAAGGGCACATACCTGGGTTGTAGGTTCAATCCCCGGGCCTGGGTGGGGGCACTTGAGGGAGGCAACCAATCGGATCTCTCTCACATCCATGTTTCTCTCTCTCTTTTTTTCCTTCCCCCTCCTCCCTCCCTCCTTCCTTTCACTCTCTCTAAAAATCAATGGAAAAATATATCCTCAGGTGAGGATTAACAATAACAGCAAAAAATCAATAAATGTATCCTCACGTGAGGATTTTAAAGAAAAGAAGACGATAACTTTTCAAGGCTTGATTGTAATGATTAAAAATAAACAGAACTCATAGCCCTAGCTGGTGTGGCTCAGTGGATAGAGTGTCAGCCTGTGGACTGAAGCGTCACGGGTTTGATTCTGGTCAAGGGCATGTGCCCGGGTTCTGGGCTCAACCCCCAGTGCGGGGTATGCAGGAGGCAGCTGATCAGTGATTGATGTTTCGCTCACCATTAATGTTTCTATGTTTCTCTCCCTCTCCCTTCCTCTCTGAAATCAGTAAAAATATATTTTAAATAATAAATAAAAATGTAAAACAAAAAACCTCACAGAACTTAACTGTCTCCTCCACTGTTGTCTCCCTTTTGCCATCACCTTCCCTCAGAATAAAACAAGATCTCCATTTGTAGGTTAAATCTGTCTTTTGGTTCAAGACTGTTCCAGTTGAATAGGAAACTTAAACGTACTGCCTGACAGTGGCTGTTCCATAACAAGGTGCTATCTTATGGAATGTGTGTGAAACAGTGTAGAAATTTAATTTAGCCATTTCTGTGTTTGGACAGCATTTATTTCCTCTTCTGACTCAAAATATAAAACACCAGTTTGAATACTGTTTGTAGCAGCTACTTTTTTCTTAAAAGAGCCAGTCGGTGTTTTAAGCTTTGTGATCACAGACGCCACAGGAGCAAGCGGACGTAGCTCTGCCCAGTGAAGGTGCGGAGAGACTGGAGAACGTACACTTCTTTTTATCTTCTTGTCTCTAACCGGCTTTGAGAACAAATGCCTCACGACAACGGTTGCTCCTTTTTTTAATCCTCACTGGAGGGCATGCTTTGATTGCTTTTAGAGAGAGGAAGGGGGAGAGACAGAAACACTGATGTGAGAGGGAAACATGGCGTTGTCTCCCACATGCACCCCACTGGGGATTGAAACCAAAACCTGGGTATGTGCCCTGAGAGGGAATTGAACCCAGGACCTTTCACAGGACGATGCTCAACCGAGTTCACTGGGCCAGGACAAGCTGCTCCCTTTCCTGATGCAGGTAAAATGGGCACACCTCCAAGTGCACAGACACTAACTGATGTCACTGAGTTTTGGTGTATGCTGTGCTTGTGAAATTAAGTTATAGAATGTTTCTCTCGCCCTAGGAGGTTCTCTTCACGGTTTGGTGCACAGTGTGTGGGGGGTTGCGCTACTCCACTGCTGTGTTGCTTTTTTATTAGCGAGGAGGGTCCTGCGCAGAACAGACCCGGGTGCTCCGTGCCCTGCCGCCCACACTCGGTGACCTCACAGCTGCTGTGACTGGCAGGCCCTGGAAGGGACCCTCCTCAGTGCGGCCTCCAGCAGGCAGAGACACCGAGGCCCGTGAGGGGAGGTCCCGTGCTGCTCATTTTCTTACTGACAACTTCATCATTTTATGAAGACGATACATGGATTTATTAAAAATTCAAACAATACAGAAAAGCGTGGCAGTGAACGTGATTTTTAAAATCAAGCAGTGGTGTAGGTTCAGGTAAGGAAATGCTGTACAGCAAAGGCTAAGTCTTTCAGCTCCTGGTCCCTGGTCCTTCCCAGAAACAACCCGATCACCAGTGCTCGCCTCCCAGAGGCACTGGCGCAGCGTTTTACTTCTACTTGTTTGAATACTAGAGGCCTGGCTCATGGAGTTCGTGCACCGGTAGGGTCCCTAAGCCTGCCCAGCAATCAGGACCGATCGGGGCCTTCCAGCTGCCAGCCAGGGCCTTCCTTCCCCAACGCCCCCTGGTGATCAGCGCACGTCATTGATCAAACTCCCAAAGGGACACTTTGCATATTAGCCTTTTATGCATCCTATCTATATATGTAAAATCCTAATATGCAAATAGACCAAACGGTGGAACAATTGGTCACTATGATGTGCGCTGACCAGCAGGGAGCGTGTGCGAAACATGGTGGGTGTCGGCAGCAGGAGGCAGAGCATGGAACATGGCTGGTGTTGGCCACGGCAAGATGGTAGAGCAGGTGAGCGGGGGCGCCAGACCAAGGCGGGGCGCCGGTTGCTATCATCGGGGCAAGTCTCTGGTGGTTACTGAAAGTTCTTTGCTCCTGTGTGCCATGGTCCCACCCAGTGCTCGCACCCGCTGATGGCGCCGTCAGCGGGTGCAAGTGGCAGCTGCTGGCCCCGATTGCCCCTCAGGGCTTCTCCACCTCCCCCTGCTCCTGAGGGGCAATCAGGGCCGGCAGCCACTGCTCACACCTGCTGACAGCGGCAGTCCCACTCGCACCCACTGCTGGTGCCAGCCCCAATTGCTCTGCACTGTCAGCAGCGGGAGTGGGGCTGCTGGCAGAGAGGAGACTGGCACTGCAGTGGGAGGGGCTGGGCGTGGGCTCGAAGGATGGGCCGAGATCTGCCCCTGTGCCCACCACAGCCTCACAGTAACTGGTCGCTCTGATGCTCACTGACCACCAGGGGGCAGACACTCAATGCAAGTATCTGCCCCCTGGTGGTCAGTGCACTCCCACAGGGTGATCTCGACTCAGCCAGAAGCCCGGCTCACGGCTGGCAAGCACCACGGCAGCCTAGATTGCGAGAGCCCCGACTGCAAGAGGGATGTCTGACTGCTGGCTTAGGCCCAATTCACAAGGCCTAACACTCATCCACTGAGTCACTCTGGCCAGGCAGTGCAGCATTTTAAATAAAAGCATTTGTTTGGACGTGGCAGTATTAATTATTGATGTTTTTCCATGGGTGGGGTCTAGAGGTCAAGTATTTAGCAGGCACTAACTGAGAATAAAAAATACTTTGTCGCCCTGACCGGTTTGGCTCAGTAGATAGAGTGTTGGCCTGCGGACTGAAGGGTCCCAGGTTCGATTCCAATCAAGGGCATGTACCTTGGGTGCAGGCACATCCCCAGTAGGGGCTGTGCAGGAGGTGGCTGTTCAATGTTTCTCTCTCATCGATGTTTCTAACTCTCTATCCCTCTCCCTTCCTCTCTGTAAAAAATCAATAAAATATGTATTTAAAAAAAAATACTTTGTTGTGCCCAGCTGGTGTGGCTCAGTCGTTGAGCGACAACCTATGAACCAGGAGGTCACGGTTCGATTCCTGGTCAGGGCACATGCCCAGGTTGCAGCTCGATCCCCAGTGTGGGGCATGCAGGAGGCAGCTGATCGATGATTCTCTCATCATTGATGTTTCTGTCTCTCTCCCTCTCCTTTCCTCTCTGAAATAAATAAAAATGTATTTTAAAAAAATACTTTGTCGCATCTGTATTCTCCAGCACAGTTTGGGGACCAGTGCCATGAGGAGGAGGAGTTAAACTTGCGGGGCTGTGTCTCTCTGTGGGTTACAGTGGCATAGTACTTAGTGGGGAGAGTTGGCCCGAATGTGCCAGGTAAGCAGCCCCAATCCCTGCTCTGTACTGAGGGCCTCCTGGCTCTGTGCCGGCCCCGCTGTGAAGTGGGTGCATGTCCTTGTTTCTGTCCGCAGTGACTAAAGGCACCCAGAGCCCTGCACCAACTTGCCCAGAACTAGGCTTGGAATCCTCTTGTCCTGATTCCAACATATCCTCCTTTGGGGAAGGAGACTTGTTTTATTTTCTGCCCTCAGTAGGCGTCAGGTGGCTTACCTGGTGTTCCTAGGGCAAAAGGTCATGCCCTTCAGTTCAGGTTCAGATACCAATTTTCCTTCTCTGTGCTTCATCCTCAGGGACCAGGCTGACCATCCACGTGGGCCCTGGAGGGGGTGGAGGCGCCAGAACACACTGGTGGCCACCCTGTGCCCTTCTGCTGTCTGTGGTGAATTCCCTGTCACCTGCCTGGCCTCGCCTGCCAGCCTCAGCCCCTCCACCCCATCACGTGTCCTCCTTGGCTTCCTTCCTCCGCAGAGCGGTGTCTTGTGGGGTGCAGAGCAGCCCTGTCCCCCGACGCTGCGTTCTGTGCCTTTGACCTTACACTGGTTGGCATAGGCCTGCAGCTGAAAGTCTTTTCTCTTTGCTGTTTGGAGCTTCTTGGTGTGGAGGCCTGTTTTGCCAGGTGTCTAATGTGGCCTTGGCGCTAAAGGGGCCTGTGTTTGCACACCAGTGGTTTCCGCTCAGCTCTTGTCTGGCTCAGTTGGCTGTATTCTGTGTTTTTTTTTTTTTTTTTCCTGCTGGGCAGGTGTTTTCAGAGGTATTTGCAGCCTCCTTTTGGGGGGCAGCTGAAGCTTCACTCAGGCACTGCCTGCAAAGGCAGCAGACGGTGCCTTTCCCTGTGGCTGGTGATTGAGACCCACCTTTGCTGCCGATAACAACGCACTGTCTGTCTGCTTCAGGCTGATTCCCAGCGTCTAAGGCAGTGGTTCCCAACCTTCCTGACGCCGCGGCCCTTTCATACAGCTCCTCATGTGGTGACCCCACCATAACATTATTTCCATTGCTACTTCATAACTAATGTTGCTGCTGTTATGAATCGTAATGTAAATATCTGATATGCAGGATGGTCTTAGGCGACCCCTGTGAAAGGGTCATTTGACCCCCAAAGGGGGCGCGATCCACAGGTTGAGAACCGCTGGTCAAGATACTGAACAAACCAACACCATGGGGCCCTGCTGCTGCCCTTCCACACTTCCCCGTCCAGACTAGCCTGTGTGAGGCTCACATATCGTCTGTACATCCGCAGTTTTGTGTTTACTGAGGAAATGCATTCAGTTTAAGGAATCAGACTGATTCCACTGTGAATGTTTTGTGCACAGGCTTTTGTGTGAATGTGTTTTCTCTTCTTTTGGATGAATTACCAGGGAGTGGCATGCTGGGTCCTGAGACCTTGGTAATGCTCTGTCCGTCTGCCCTCTGGATGGCTCTGCGTGTGCAGCAGCTCCCAGTGCAGCACTCTCAGTCTCTCAGGTCCCACTCAGGACATATCGCTCTGCTGGGTTAGACCCCACTTTTCTTTGGTGGGAAGAAAACAAAATGTATTGGGGGAATG